CGGCCCCGCCTCTAGTCATCTCCGGCGTGTCCGCCGGACCCGTCGCCCGTCGCCTCCGCTGTACCGGCCCGGTACCCCGTCGCCCAGGCGAGCAGGGAGGCAGCGGCCCTGTCTCTAGTCACTGGGTCGGGCCCTCCCCCATCGCCCCGAGGAGCCGCACGTGGCCGGCCATGGCGCCACCAGCCCCGGCCCTCCCCTGTCTGCTTAAGCAGTGGCCGGCCCTGCTGCCTGGTGCCGCCGGCCCCGGCCCCCTCCCCCTCTTTGCCCCTGGCACCCGTCGCCCTGAGCAGCCATCGGCCTCCTCCGCACGACGCCCGGCTTGGCTCACCGCCCGCCTCCGAGCATCAGCAGATGCCCACCCCCGCCTAAGCCGCCCTCCTCTTCCTCCCTCTCTCCCTTCTCTCAGGTCGCGGGCGTCCAGATCGAACTCCTGTACTCTAACATAATATAATTTGTTCGTGTATAATCGGTTCATCTTGTTAAATAGAGTAGTTTTGTTTGGATAGCTAGTGATGATGAATATTTTTGTCTTGTGAAGTATGTTCGTTCATCGTTGATTCTTGAGACAGCAGTGTGTATGGATATTGTGGTGTTCTTCGTCAGTTAGTTCCTCGTCGCCTCTGCACTTGTTTGCACGATATTTTTTAAAGTAAAAACAATTATTTGTCCTCTGTGATGTTTGACGCTGATGACAAAGATGGATTATGGCTGACGGCAAAGGACTGACACCGTCCGTCAGGGCCTTTGGTCTGTTAGGTCGCTTTTTTTTGCCACCTGGCTAGTCTCACTAACGGCAACCACAATTGCCTAACGGAAAATCTTTGCCGTCACCCCGATGAAAAATTGATGGCAAAGTACCTCTTTGCCGCTTCAGCTTTACCGTCTATTTTTGCCGTTTGTATAACGATCTTTGCCGAATGTACATGCCTGACGGCAAAGTAGCCGATTCTTGGAGTGAAAAGATCCAATTTTTTTGAATTTCCAAAAATGTTCAAAGCTCATGGGTTCAAAAAAATGTTCATAATTTTGAAAAATTTGCACGATTTTGAAAACAATGTACATGATTTTCAAAAATGTTCATGTATTCATTTTTGGTTGTGAACTTTTTACAAATGTTCACAACAATAAATAATGTTCGTGAATTAACAAAAAAAGTTCATCAATTCAAAAAATGTGATGAATTCAAAAAATAATCACCCCTTTTAAAAACATGTTCTTGAAAAAATGAAATTCAAAACTTGTTCTAAAGTTCCAAAAATATAAGTAGATTCAAAAAATGTTCGCCGATTCAAAGAAATTCACTAGTTAAAAAAATTCAATAATTGTTCACGATTTGTAAAAACAATCACGGATTCAGAAAATGTTATGAACTAGCACAGTGGCCCGCCCGATGTGCGGACTAGAATTTTATAATTATTTTCGGAGAACACAATGTGTGAGGGCTCCATCTTCAATTTATTCAAAGTTCAAAGAATTTGGAAAAGAAATTAATGTTTTTTTCTATATGTTCACATTGGGTAGGAAATAATACATATGTATAGCCACAACTATTATCATTATGCTACTTTGTTAGAATAATGATGATTAATTGTAGCATTCCTATAAGTACCAAATTATACATAGGTATATCTGCACATCATATTGGATCACCGCATAGAAAGAAACTTTAATCCACAAGCTAGCTGATAGTTTCCATATTGGATCACTGGGACGCTGTCTCGGTGGGACCGATTGCAAAACTCAGTGAGACCGAATTATTTCAACAAGTTACAGAAGGTTTGCCAAGTCGTCTCGGTGAGACCGATTGCAAACTCGGTGAGACCATAATTGCAACTGGTTACAGAAGGTTGGGCAGGCAAAACCGGTGGGACCAAGAACCATATCGATGACTTTGATTTGTTAGGGTTTGGCTGTGGCAGTGTCTAGATGAACTCGGTGGCTCCGGATAGGGAAATTTTGGTGGGACCGAGTTGGAATGTAGGGTTTGGATATATTTAGTTAGAGAAAGTGGTCGAGGGTTTTGGAGGAATATCACTAAGCACTTGAGCAAATATATCATAATCAAAACCTCATCCCCGTTTAATAGTATTGGCTTTCCTATAGACTCAATATGATCTTGGATCACTTAAAAATGAAGAGTCTTGATATTTTGCCAATCCATGTCCTTAGCATTTTGAGGTGTCCACAATCACTTGTCCTTGCCATGCCAATCATTGAACACCCTGAAAACTTTAATAGTAAAGTGTCCTGCTCGATGCGCGGGCTAGAACTATTTTTTCTTTTAATAATAAGCATGTTATTTTTTTATCTTGTGTATATGTTGATATGCAACGGGTCAACTTATAGCCGAAGAACTAAATGATGGCAGCAAGTTATGAATGTCAAATACAACTTAAGGTGTAGTTTTAATTTGTTTCTGGCTCCTCGACTTCTTTACAAAGCTTGGGAATAACATTGGCAGTATTAGACCCCCAACCCACATTAATGTGCAACAACCTAAAGAATTGCTACAGGGATCTGTTGCCATGCTTTTTGATGAAATTTAAATAAAAATTAAAATAGATATAATATATTTGATTAAAATATATATAATATAAGTACAGTTTTTCATGCATGTTGAGCGAATTATATTTTGAATGATTTAAGTTGGGATATGTGCATGTTGGGAGAGAATAATAGCAATTTACATGCATGTCTAGAGAAATAGGTAGTTGGGTGATGAGGTGCATGCTTGGTGGTGGCATGTGTGCATCAGAGAATTGAGATAGTGGGGAACAACTACTTAGGTATATAGGATTAGTGTACTTGTGATTATCTATAGTTTTAATATTCCCCCTATTAAGTTTTAACAATTGACTATGAAATAGCTCTCATTGCATTGTGCTTATAAAATTGAAGCATGTCGGGAGGAATTACCACGGATATGTCGCGGTTCATCTAAGCTAGATTAAGCGGTTAGCGGCGTAAGCTATGCTTCAATCTTGCAACTTGGCAAGTTTTGCATGTTGCAGCTTGGTAGGCAATGCTTGCCCTGCTGCAATGTACATGTAGCTTGGCAAGGTTGGCGTTATTGTGGCCTCATTTGCAGATGACACCCGAGCGATCATGAAGATGCCAGCTTCGCAACGTAGGCGTACCTGAAACACCATCATGCAGCTTATGAGCGTAGATGAATATTGCCTCTTGTTTCCACGCTAGGGCACCCGTGATGGCTGCTCCGCAAGCTGTGCGTCTTGCAGCTTCTAAGTCCCTGACACATCCAATCATTCCAGCGGGAGAGAAGGTCACCACTGCCTTGTTGCAGCTGTCCCCAAAATATTGTATATGTCATTATGCTTGATTTTAGGCTGGAGAGACCCTTCGGAAAGAGTTGATGGACATGTCATGTTTGAGTTTTTTTTGTGAGAGAGCATGGTAGGCACGTTGGGGACTCCCGCTTGGTTCCAAAAATACCATATTTTTTTTAACAACACAATCCTATATATGGTATGGACTCTTGGTGCTTTTTTTTATTATCACGGACTCGTGGTGGGTTGCCACAATGCTATATATATCATGCATTCAAACAATACATGTTAAGCATATGAAACGGTTATATAATCATAATTTTAATAGACCCACCAGATCAAGGGCTAGTATTTACTAATTAAAGTGGAATTTTCTAGCCTATTTCTCTGCTTCTTATTAACTCGTCAATTACTTTTTTTATATAAATAGATAATAGGGCAGTTACTTTCGTTGAAAAGTCTAGTTTATTTTCTTTCCTAGGATTGTATGTTGAGAGATGTATCTTTTTTTCTTACCCAATTTTTTCCCAGGAAGCACATTTAGTTTTTTTTCTTTACTAGGAATGTACGTTTGGTGGTGCACATTATTTGAGTACAAATATTATCTTTCCTTGTGCTGTACGTGGGGGCTGTGGCCCACCATGTTTTATATATGTCACATAGTTGAACGGTCACATAATCTTAATTTTAAGAGACCCATCAAATCAAGGGCTAGTATTTTCTAATTAGTGTGAGATTTTCTAGCCTAATTCACATGCTTATGGTTTCACTGTATATTACTTTTAATATATAATAGATGAGATATATGTTGTTATGAATAATCAAAACCATCCGGATTAGTTGCAGATTCAACTATGGCTCGAGAGGAGATGACGAACCACTCGAAACCAAATTCAAATGACCACGCATGATGACGTGGTGTTATAATTAAGTGCAATGTTAATGCAATCAAGTTAATTGGAAAATTTAGGATGGGAATACCCCTGGACTTAATTGGGCCAATTAAAGTTAAACATTTTTAGGTAAAAATACCGTTGGGCTTTAAAAAGGCCCAGTTAGTCTCATCCGTTAGATCGGCCATATAATACACGTGCTCTGGTGTATTATAATGCACCGTAAAATTTCCCTTATAAATACATAATATCAATTACATTTATTCCAATTTTTTATTTTTTGTAAAACGCCAGCTAACATTTTTCTAGAATGCTATCAACATTTTTTAGTACTATATGTGGAATTTTTCAGAAAAATCATAAATATTTTTTAAAAATGCCATGAACTTATTTTCGAAACACGTGAACATTTTTCCTGGCTCTCTATGTATATGTATGTGGCTGGAAAAAGATAGTTGGTTGAGGTGGTATAGCATCCATGGTATGCAGAACATGGTTTTGCGACCGCTGATATACATCCTGACGAACTCATATATATCTTCAACACCTACACTATCCGTCCTATTCCCAGACGACAAAAATTACACATAATCATTTTTGTTTTGTTTTTTCTCTCTAGATGCAACTAACTAACAGCGCCAAACCAATTCCAACCAAGCACCAACTAAACCTCCATTTCTTCGGCGTGCTGGATCACAAGGACAATGTGGTACGCGGACACGAGGAAAAAGTGCATCGTCCTCTCAAATTCTCAATGTAGGAGAGATCAAGACTCAATGTAGGAGTTCTATATTTTGGTCTAGTTTGGCGTAAATACGGCATGGGGCCTCTTCAAGGTCTCTGGGCATGGCGAACTGGAGAGCAGTGCATGCCCAACATATGGCGCTCGCTTGACGCCATGGACGACCAGGAGGGAGGCCTCATATTCTCCGCCCAACTTGATCCGATGAGGGCGGGCTTCGATCCTACTCTGATCAGCTTCCCTGTTCCAGCGCTAATTAGTCGCCTTCTCGGATGGAGTAACAACAGTGGCCAAGGAAGGCCGCAGGGATCCGTGATGGTCGCCGCCGCCGCTGTTGCTCTTTACGTGGCTGCACTCTTTGTTTCTGGTCAGCAGCCTCGCCGGCGACGTCTGGCTGCTTCTGCTGCAGCTAGGCCAACTTCTGGTATGCAGCTTGTTTCATTACTTCATGGCTCAAGTTCTTTTCATGTGCGATTTGATTTGCATCCATGGATTTGTCTGCAGCAGCCAGACCTCGTGCTCTCCCTCTGCCTGCGCCGGACGGCGGGCTCCTCAGAATACTGTCAGGGAATAATGTAAGTCGTGATCCTAAGCTAGAGCTCCTGTTTCATTTCTTGATCGTGGCAATCCAACCACCTCTAATTTCTTGTCCATGGGTTCGAAGCACGAATATCTGGAGAACGTGGTCCACAGCGCGTCCATCGGTGCCCGGGACGACGACGAGCCGGTTCCGGTCGCAAGAGTTCAGAGCATGCTGGACAAGGAGCAGGAGGACGATGTCGAGCGGTTCAAGGAGTTGTGGCTGTCGCTCGTGGAGCGGGAGCAGAGGCTAGAGCTCCAGCTGATGCACCTCGACGGCCTTAGAGAGCAGCTCGAGCACCGCCTCAGCGTCGCCGCCCTGGAGACGTGGATCCTGAAGCTCGATGCCTTGTTACTCCATGAGGAGAACGAGAGGCTCAAGGCCCAGGCGGCGGAGCTGGAGGCCGTCCGGGCCCAGCTGGGTCGCGCCAAGGAGAAGCTTCGTGCACTCAAGGAGCGGGTGCAGATCGAGCGGGAGGAGTCTCAGAGGGAGGCGGCCACGCTCCGGGACAAGGTAATGCAGCTGGAAAAGACCGGCGAGAACAGGGAAAGGGTGTTGGCTGCGGAGGCGGCGACGCTACGGAAGGCCAAGGCTGGGCTGGAGGAGGAGAACATGGAGCTTGCTCGGAGGCTGCAGCATGTGGAGCAGGTCTCCTCCTCTGTTACTATTAGTCTGGTTGATGGGGTAACTGCATTCCTAATTCTCGATTTCAATTCAACATTTTCTGCCATTTCGTCTAAATTTGTGAAAATTACTACTCCCCCGGCCCGTTCCATAATATGTATACTTGATACTTGTCGCGAACGACAAGTATTATGGAACAGAGGGACTGCATATCAATTTCTCCAGATTTATGTGTCGATTGTTGACTGGTTTCCAGCTTTGGTCAAGTGAACAAAGTTATCTTCTGGGAGAGAGAAACTAAAAAAAAAGATTTTTTATGTATTTCCTTGTAACCAAAAAGTCCTTATTTCTGAGCCGATGATGCTTTGAAATAGCAAATCCAACAAAATTGTTTACATTTCAAACTAATTTTTTTTCTTTGGATGTCTGGATTATCTAACCATATATAGGAATGGTGGTAAGATAGCTTACTTTTATGTGCTGGGTTGCTGACCTTTTTTGGGGCGAAACACAATATGACCATTGAACATAACATGGTCATTTAATTAGTTTATGTTATGGTCACATGTTGGCCATTGATGACCTAAGTGAACTTAGTTTCTTGGTCTTTGTTTGATACATTTCTAAACTACGTTAACTCCAAACGAGTCCCTGTCCCACTGAGAAAGCACACCCATATATATGCTTTGTACTAAATCATCAACAACTAACATGGATCGTTGGGAGTAGTACATTTTTCTAGAAGACATTTGACATTTTGTTTGGGAGAACATTCCCTCCCCACAAGTGCAAAGTCTGAATTTCCAATTTCCCATTTTGCCTAGAAGATACTTTACCACTGGCTCTTCTCCGCAAGGATTTTAATATGGCCAATCTTCGTCCATAATATGTGGCTAAACAAGCTAATTAACCGTCCTTCTTTCTTCTGGATTTATAAGGACGACATCGTGGATGAAGCAAACTACCTTAGGGAGGCTAACGAGAGGTTGACCAGGCAGATCGAGCAGCTACGCAGGGACCACTGCGCGCACGTCGAGGAGCTCGTCTACCTCAAGTGGGTCAACGCCTGCCTCCGCCACGACGTTCGTGGCAGAGATCACCACCCCTCGTCCGCCGAACAAGATGAGGACGGTGATGGCAGAGCCATGACGTCGTCGGCCATGGATCTGAGCAAGAGCATGAGCTACCGCTCCAGCGAGAAGGCCAAAGAGCTCATGCTGCGGTATGGGAGCCTCGGCCTGGACGGCCACGACCCCGCGCTCTTCTCGCCTCTCAGCGAGTCGATAGACCGCGACGGCGAAAATCACCAGCTGCGTGTTGGAGATCACGACGAGCCATGGCGGAGCCCGGTCACTCCGTCAGCAGTCGTGGCCATACCCCAGAATCGGGTCGGGAATGCGAAGCTCAAATTTGTGAGAAATATCAAGAAGCTGCTAGCTAGCACAAGAAGAAGCCACGGCCACAACCGCAGGAGCGAGAAGAAGGCGATGCGGTGCCTGGCCTCCAGCAGCCACGACGCGCTCTCTGGAGACAGCTCGTACGAATCGTCGTGCCAGAGCAGCATGACGACCGTGGACTTGGACGCCCGTGCGCGCTGCGGGAAGGCGGCCGCAGAGGTGCCCGTCGCGTCGAGGCTGGAGGCGGATACTCAGCTGGCTAGGTCGAAGGGCTACATGGGTGCGTCGCTCGGGCCGGAGGCGAGAAGCTATCACGCTCTCCGGCCGGACGGCCCAGCTGGTGTTGGGTCAGACCAGTTTAATTAGAAGATGAGAAGATACTTGGACCAGTTGAGAAGCTCTTGTCCTGATCATTTTATAGCTAGGTGCATGGAACGTGATGCTAGACGCAGAGTCTAGAGTGACTTTCGCACCATATGAACTCATTAACGACAAACCGGTCGCCAGCCGATCATTCATACATAGCTCACTCGTAGATAAAAATGTGTTAGGTTCCCCGCATGAGTACAAAGAAAGCATACGCATAACCACATTAAAAAACATAGGCATAAGACTACCCACCCTGGGAGTACATAAGTGGTAACATCACACATATATAGGCAAAATAGATGATGTGGCATATAAATAATGACGAAAGAGAGGCATGTGGCAACATAACTAGTTACTCACATATACCAATACAAGATGAGCCTACAATCTAATAAATGAAGTGTACATATGTTACTTTCCACTGTATAGGTAGTAACATAGATTAGTAACATATGCATGTTTCCTACTGTGGCTAGTCAAGCACATTAACAAGCACATACCCATTTCCCCCTGCTTTAATGATAGTTGGCAGAGCTCCTGCCATTCCAGTTAAAATATAAATAAATAAATAAGCGTGCATGCCGATATAGACATAGTCATAGGCACAACACCAGCACACAAGAGATACGCACAACCAAAGAGTCATAGGCACAGTAGTAGAGGACGACAGACATGTTACAACTCTTGGACCACTGTGTTTAACAAATAAGCTCCTTATTTCTAATGTCTTGATTCATACAAATATATTCATAAAACATCAGATGTACATGTTTATAACCTGTAATCCACCTTTTCAGATTTGCTGATATATTACATCTCGTATATGTTCTCAGGTGACACGCAACAGTGAAGCAAGACAAACCAGAGTGCTCAAAAGTCGATATGCAGCTGGTCGGTTAAAGACTTGGGTCTTCTTGACAAGCGGGATAAGCTCATTCAGGCAAAATCCGTAGCAAGATGTGTGTCGACACCGTTGCTATGCCGCCGGTTGGCTGACTCAGCACGTTGGAAACTTTACCATATCTCATCTCCACGAGCTGTAGGTTAGCTAGTCTCTCGAAGCATCCGGCAGTGAGTTTTGAAGCAATGCTTATACAATTAGAAGCTTCTAATTTATTTTCTACATATGTGTTGGCCTGCCAGTGCAGAAAATATTGACATAAATGAGCCATTTGTAAGTTATATTTTTTGCACCGAAGCATCACATGATAAGCTATGATGCTTTACTAATGTGTGTATGAAGCCGTTAAATGGCACATCCATACCACGACATCAGACGGTAACCAATGAAGCTTTATTAAGTTCTGTATGAAGCAACTCACATGGAATGTGTTTCCAGCAACGAGAAGAAGTGTTCTATTTACGCCGAAAAATGTTGCCATTACAATACATAACTATGTGTCCTTTCGTTTGGAAAATGTATGCATTAATTAGTTCCATGGCATGTGAGAAATCTTGCGCAAGTCTGCATAGATTGTTTTCATCTCATGAAAAAATGCTTCCGTTGCCTTATGGAATAGAAACAGTCAGGGTCTATTTTGGAGATTTATCTCCTAGAATCGAATCATCATTTACGGGATTTTATACCAAGAATTTAGGTGATCTCTTTCCTAAAAGACCAGATGTATTCTGTTCTCACAAGTCATGCTTCCATCACATGGGTGCATGTAGCGTGATTTAAGGAAGCATACAACAAGGAAGCAACGTCCTAGGGATGAAGAAGGGAAAACAGGTGGAGCCAAACATGGAAGGCGTGGGTTGCGGGAGCGGTTAAGAAGCACTAAATTAGCGGCTACAACTAATCTCGTGTAGGCTTAAATTTGTACTCCCCGTTCGGAAATACTAGTCATCGAAATGGATAAAAGGGGATGTATCTAGATGTATTTTAGTCTAGATACATCTCTTTTTATCCATTTTGGTGACGAGTAGAACTGACGTACGTCCTGCTTTTAATCTGATGGCTAAGGACTATTCTGATAGATGTATCTATCAGTAGTCTGATGCCTAATGCAGATATATGTGTAGCATTTATAATGACGTTGCTCGTCTTCAGTTCTCTAGCTCTCCCTCGTGTATGCAGCAGTACTCTTCCCCCATGTGCCGCGATTTGGTGACCATGTTTATCTCTGCACCTAGGCGGGAACAGTAAATTCAAATAAAGTAGCAAACAACTATTTTAAAAATTGATTTTTCTGTCATCAAAAGATGCTCCAATGTGCGAGGTGCGTGCAAACATTTCTTTCTTTGTTTTTTTGCCGCATGGCTCCCCTGAACGCCACCTTTTACGTACCCACGTAATCTTTTCCCAATACAACACTTGATATATTTTTCCTGGTAATTGTCCAACATCGGGCCGGAATAGAGAATCCATTTTTTCTTTCTCTTAGGACTAGCAGATCCTATCGGATCCGCTGCCTCCAACTGGCAGAATTTGAAGCCATTGTCCTCACCAAATCAAAGGCATCACCAAGGTACCCAAAAAAAGTCATCATCAGGAGGATGTTCATCCATTCCATCATCACCAACTCCATCTCCATCAGCGGCTACATCTCTGCCGCCATTTATGGGAAAATTGTGTTGACCGGTTATCGTGATCACTTCTTGTTGTTGATTAATGTCTAGTAGTTTATGCCTTATGTTCTATTGGTGAAATATTTATATGTTTTGTATATTGTCATCCATATTCATTAGCCACTCTTGACGAGTAACTAGACCTGTAGGCCAACTTGCCGATCACATATCTATGCCACTCAGATTATGATGACTTATGTGTAGTTCCATAGCGTTCTTGGGACCATTGAAAAAAGGAGTAAAAGAAAAATATATTTTTAGTCTTTGGATCTTATATATTAGGCAACATGCGTAGAGTTATATTTATAACCCGCGATCTTTGACGTTTGGGTGCGTTAATCTTATAAAAGTCTCAAAACATATCGAATATAATACCCACAACTTCATTTATTCTGCTAGGAATGCCGGCTAATTAATCAGATATTAATGTGCCTCGTGTTTTGCGATATGTATTTTGTGTGTCAATTAACAATCTCAATCTCAATCTTGTGTAGCTCGTTTCTGTTGCTTCTATACCACTTTTATCCATCCGCTGCAAGACTATTCGCAAGAGATATAATATTTATTTAAATATAGTTATAATATGATACATTTTTAGAAATTTACAGTATTTATGAATAAACCTAACAAACATTTATTGTTTTCATAAAAATAATGTCTCATTGTACTTGCCATAAACCTAATGAATAAAGCTAAATATTGCATACTTGGGACAATTGTGTAAATTATTCGGAACATCATGATATATTTTCAAGTTATACAAAAAATGCCCATGGGCCAACTATATTTTCCACGGGCCAACAAATGAATTTGTAAACAATGCCCATTTTCCTCTCCACAAACGAGCATCTTGCATGGAATATTTAATCACAACACAAATACATGCATCTTTTTTCTCTCTATTCTTACAAACACCACACATCCCTCTAGTCGCTCTTTCCCGTTGATTTAACTTGTCATCAATCACTTTCTTTGTCCATACATAATTAATCCTCTTAATTTAATGCCTTCCCGACACAACATCTAGATAACAAAAAATGACTCTACAATTTTTCTATATTAACTATCATGATACTAACATATAAATAAAAGTATTTGAACAAGAAATGAAGGTCCCATAATAATGCTATACTCTATAAATCATACATCCCATCTACACGTGTGAAGCGGCAACAGACACACACATGAATAGCGGTGCCCCTGCCAGCAGCGGAGACATCTCTCCAGATCCGTCATCTCCAACTTCCCTCCATAATAATTCCAATTAGGGAATGGGAGATAGTCATGTAACTATAATTTGCAAGAATAAAGCTCTCGCCTGATAAACCATAAACCCACAATTCTCTCTCCCTCTCTCTCTCTCTCTCTCTCTCTCTCTCTCTCTCTCTCTCTCTCTCTCTCTCTCTCCCGCCCTTCATCTCCCTCTTCTGTCTCTTTGAAAAGGCAATCACGTACCGCGATGGATGATATCTTGTTCTATGTATGATTGACATGTAAAACTGTTCTCAGCTATCGCAGGAGGTGATAGTGCACTAAATTTGATGAATATAAAGATGCATGTATTGTAGTGCCAATGTTTGTTTCTTCTTGTCTTAGACCGTGACAAAGATAAAGCTTGACAATAGTCTTGGTTATCCCTAATGAAAACCTAAGGCGATAAAATTCAGAAGTTGATAAACCATAAATCCACAATTCTCTCTCCCTCTCTCCCCCTTCCTCTCTCTCTCTCTCTCTCTCTCTCTCTCTCTCTCTCTCGGACACAAATCAGTGAGAAACCTGCACAACCAAATACGTCATTCTCTCAGATTTATAATCATTCAGAAAAAGAACCTTCGGCTTCATCTATTTGCATGTATATAACAAGTAGTACTAACAATTGTTGCGTACAAGAAACAATCGACATAATTCAGTTATAAGAAAAAAATAGGCATAAACTAGAGATCTTAATGTTCAAAATCCAGCAGCAGCAGAGCATCAGGAATCACATCTAGAAGAATCAAGGAATCAACGAACAAGCGAAAGTAGATGTCCATCTACTCTATATAGGGATATCTGGCACTCTTTGGGAATGTTTGAATGACACCGCGATCACACGGGGACTCGGCTTCATCGTGGGAGGAGCTACTGGATTTTTGGTTGTGTTTTCTCTAGGTCTTCCTTTTGATTTCCAGAAATTTCGGTTGCTGGACCAGGTTCGTTAGACTCAAAATTACTCAACTGCACCTGGACATGTAATCTGGACTAGAAAACCATATAAAAAGGGCAACATATGAATTGCAATTCCAAATAGTTTATAATAGGACTGCTTTGCTCAATGTTTTTACTAATGAGCATGGAATATTTAATCAATAGATTATTGTTAAATATCCTAGCATGGTGGCACTTTGTCAATATATTACTTTTAGTTACCTTTTAAAACTTGAAGG